TTTGGGTGAACATTTGTATTATTATACCGAATAAATCTTGAAACATAAATTGTGGAACTCAATCATGGCAATCTTCCAGGTTACGCTTGTAAGTTGTAGAGCTGAATTCATGGATGAACACAAATATACAAGTTGAAAGATTTCAAGAGCAGTTATTGAATTTAATTGAGTTTTATGATGAATGCATTTTACTTTCATGGTTATATTGATAAACTTAATTTCAAAATCCTACTTTTTCCCGCTAATAAGAAAGTCAAATAGTGAACGCAAACCTGGCAAACTAATCAGTTCATGAACATTGCCACATATCGTGTTCCCTTCCCTTATTGGCGTAAATCAGGTAAATTCGGGAATAAGGTACCCGGATGGAGGTAGACATACGAATATAGCAGCTGGTCGACACAAAAATGTCTAACTGCAATATGCGAATACGTTTGGCTGTCAGTGGTCATGAGGTGTAATAATAAATATTTTACAAAAATGTAACTACACGAGACTGTGGTGAGAACAATAATGATTTAAAACAATTAGATTATCATATGATAAACATGTATAAAGCCATTCACTATTGGTTTATATAGTTGTAGTACATGTAGTAAATGCAGCATCAAGTTATCAAGAACACTGTTCATGTATATGTTTATTGTCATCCTCCATTTGTTCAAGTAGTGTCATACTTTTTAATTTGTTCATTCTTTTAGCTGGTTGACAGAAACTGGACTGATAAGTTGCTTTGTCTCAAAAGAAGATTTTTAAATTTAGAATTTCTAGATTGTAAGGCTGGATATTTTCCTCAAATAATTTTCATTTCATGATTACAATGGTGTGCTTTAAAGATATCCTGTATCATATTTAGTTCAGAAACACTAGCTCCCACCAGCAAGCCATCAAATGAAATAATACGTTTTCACCAAGGTTTCCATAACTTTAGACACAAGGTTTCGGGCCAGCGCAACTGCTTCCGATGACGTTTCTTTTCCTCCAACAGCTGTTTTGAATGAAGATGGTTTCTTGAAGCATGCATTAGTGTGGTGCTGCATTTGACCTGATACGACCAGGACTGTGTCAATTGATTAATTAGCAATGAAGCATGTGATGTTATTGTCAATGGAATCCTATATAAAATCTATCACATGAACACCTGCATGAAAATATCTCCACTTTCATTTCTTTTCTTATACCATAGCTCAAGATTTATTTCAATTGGAAGTATTCCACTTATTATCACACAGAAAAAAATCAATATGTCTACAATGACTGGATTTCAAGCTGTCTAATTGACTATTGTTTACCAGTACTACTGAAGTTCATCACCAGTAGTGATCTAGCAGTGTGGGTGTACTTTTGACGATATGGTTGCTGTAATAATAACTTTATTACTCAATTGAACTACCTGTAGGAAGAGTAATAATGTAAATACAACACTGAACACACTTAAAGCAACATCAATCTATACATCAAGTTTACCCAATAATACCCAACCCTCCTATCATTTATTTGTAAATTCTCACCTCAATAAATTGTGAAATATATTCCTAATATAACCTCAAAATCAAAGAAAGCTTAGAAAGAACTCCCATGTGCTGAGAGTATTGGAGACACATTAAATATAATTTGAAATTACTTAGCTGAAAACTAATTATGCAAATCAGAAAATTAACATGAACAGATTTGATTGTAAAACTAATGAGGTCTGCGCAATGTAACAAAAACTCTATGTACCAAGTTTAATTGAAATGTGATTAGAACCAAAAAATTATGAATTATTATGCTAATTGGGGAAATAATATGTACAGATTTTAACCCACAATTATCCAGGTCTGTCTATTGTCCTACAGCATCCATGTATAAACATTCATTGATATGTGATGATTACCGTAGTACCTGAGATATCAGTGTGAAAGTTGGAAATTGGTTAATTATGCAAATTAGGTGATTAATATGCACAAATATTTACCAAAAACTAATTGGGTCTCTGCATAATTTTAGATTCATTGAAATGTGATGATTAGTACTTTAGATATCAGTAGAAAAGCTGAAAATTAATTATGCAAATTAGGTAATTAATATGCACAATTATTTACCCTGAAACTAATCAGGTCTCTGCATAGTCCTAAAGGATCTATGTACCAAGTTTCATTGAAATGCGATGATTAGTACTTGAGATACCCGTGGAAAAGCTGAAAATTAACTAATTATGCAAATTAGGTGATTAATATGCACAAATATTTATCCGAAACAATCAATCTCTGCATAGTCCTCGAGTATGTAAGTACCAAGTTTCATTGAAATGTAATGCTCACTACTTATATCAAATGCTGAAAATTAATTAATTATGCAAATTAGGTAATTAATATGTACT